AATAGGGAGCCAGTGCAGTGTTGACAGAACCGGGCTAATATGGTCATACTTCCTGGTTCTAGTAAGAACTCTAGCTGCTGCATATTGGACCGGCTGGAGTTTGTTTATTAAGCGTGCAGAACAACCACCCAATAAAGCATTACAATAATCTAACCTTGAGGTCATGAACACATGAATTAACGTTTCTGCAGTTGACACTGAGAGCATAGGTCGCAATTTAGATATATTTTTGAGATGGATAATGCAGTTTTACAAATGCTAGAAACGTGGCTTTCGTAGAAAAGATTACTATCAAATAGCACACCTAGGTTCCTAACTGGTGACGCTAGTCGAATACAAAACTTTCGTTTAAACGACAGTCGATATGATACCTCTTCATTCACTGCTACGAATTGATGGCGGTCAGATAAGTACGATTTGAACCATGCTAATGCACTTCCACTAATGCCAACAAAGTTTTCTAGTCTATTTAAAAGAATGTTGTGGTCGTGGTCGATAGTGTCGAATGCAGCACTAAGATCCAGTAGCAATAATAGAGAGATACAGCCATGATCAGATGATAAGAACAGGTCATTTGTAACTCTAATAAGAGCAGTCTCAGTACTATGATACGGTCTAAATCCTGACTGGAAATCCTCATAGATACTGTCAGGAATATGGACCTGTTTTGTTGTGCTTTCTCCCATGTGCTCTCCGTGACCCAGTTTCTCCTTCTCGTTTGATTAGTCATTCGGTTCAGGTGTGTCCCGTTAATTACCCTTGTTTACTTTTGTATTTAAAGTCGTCAGTAATACGTGCTATGTGTGTGTCTCCTGCCTACCCTGTGTTACCCCCTCTATGGATATATAAAGACTTTTCCTCGTTACTCTCCATCGTCTCGACGTTCCTCACCTCCTCCTAGAAGCACTGTGACAGATACCATTTTTCTCTAAAAAGAAATATAATTGTGAGGATACTACCTTTTCTAGTATCTTTGACAGAAAAGGGAGTTTCAAGATCGGTCTGTAATGAACTAGATCTTTGGGGGCAAGTTGTGTTTTTTTAATGAGAGGCTTAATAGCAGCCAGTTTGAAGGTTTTGGGGACATATCCTAATGACAATGACGAATTAATAATAGTCAGAAGAGGATCTATGACTTCTGGAATCACCTCTTTTAGGAGCTTAGATGGAATAGGGTCTAACGTACATGTTGTTAGTAAAAAAAAAGTAATATGTTTAAAATACATTGATTTCATACTAAGTAGTTAATATAGTAATCTATTAACATATTTACTGACATATTGTTTGAGACTTACAGATATAAAAATTATAATTAAACTTTTTTAGAGTACTACTTGTGCACAATGCACATTTCTTAATATTAAGCCTAAAATGTGTTTTAATGTCGCTGTTGATGAGAATTGTATGATCTTTGAATCATATCGGTCTTTAAATGCAAGATATTTAAAGTGTACCTGAAGTATAATTCCACTTTAGCACAATCAAATATGTTTAAGTATATCTTTAGTTGGACTTCAGCACTACATCCGCACAATTAAAGTGCATTAATTACAAAAATAGTTGTTCCAATTTAGCAGACTTTAAGTATACCAGTTTGGTATACCAAAAGTACAATTGCAGGATATTTTTATTAAGCACATAAATATGTAAATGTGTTTGTAGTATACTTAGCATGAAATAAATTTATTTCAAATACATTTTAGTATATTTATTTTTCACTAGGGTAGTAATACAAAATGAACAGAAGTAAATAAAGTAAAAAAAAAGTCATTTTCATTTTTGTGTATACAGAATTAAAGTAATTGTAACATGGCATTTAACATTCAAATATATTAAAGGGGTCATATGATGCGATTTCAAGTTTTCCTTTCTATTTGGAGTGTTACAAGCTCTTGGTGCATAAAGAAGATCTGTAAAGTTGCTAAAGACTAAAGTCTCAAATCCAAAGAGATATTCTTTATAAAAGTTAAGAGTCAACCACGCCTACCTAAAACGGCTCGTTCTAACACGCCCCCACATGTCTACGTCACTATGTGGAAATATTAGCATAATGCCGCCCAAATGTGCACGCAAAGAAAGAAGGCGTGGTTTCAGGAACAGCAGTAGTGTTGACACATTAATTACTTTATGATAAATAACATTAATTAATGGGACCTTAAGGTAAAGTGTTACTAAAAAAGTAATCTCACAATACAGACAACAGAGATAGATCAGGAAATGATGCAGCATATGATCATAAAATGTTGCAAGCCAGACTCAAACAATATAGCTGTGTTCTAATTGACTGGGTCACTACAAACTGTTCCCTACTCTCTGAGCATACATAGCTGTTGAAATTCACTCCACTTGACAAAATGACTAAACTCAATAAACTTAACTAATTAAACTAATCAAGAAATTAGTTTGATTTTCAACTCATTTCACTGCATTTATTTTAGTAAAGCTTCTTGTGGTTCCAGGGTGATGTGCAATGACTGGTGGGTAAATTTCCCTTTCCGTTTCCTGTGAATTATTGATGTTCTCTTATTCCCTATGTTGTTTGCAGTACCCTTCGAACGGAACATCTTTGGATTTGAATCGTACTTAAGATGACAGAAGTCCACTTTACAGGGCACTTATATCTCCTTTCAGGACCGTTTCTAGCCAATTTGACGCCCTAGGCGAATTGACGCCCCCCCCCAAAAAAAAATTATATATACTGTATATATATATATATTCTTTTCAGACACCAGTTTCTTGTCACATTCAAATTGGTTGTCATAGTAACGTCACTAATTTGTGGCGATTGAGCACATTGTGAGTTCCACAAATCTGAATGCATTATTT